TATCTTAATCCTTAAAGGGTTAGACAAATAATATAGATGCGGTTGGATCTGCAAACACTTATTTATTTGTTTTGCTTTCTTTTTTCTTTTTCTTTATCTTTCTTTGATTTATTTTTTGTTGGTTTCGTGTGGAAATTGAAATTGTGGGTGCCAAAATAAACAACTGAATGAAAAGAAAGAACATTAAAAACTTTACCAATTCGATCAAAGTCAGTCATTCTCAGTAAAAACAATTATTTCTGGGTATTGTGGTTCTGTTAATTAGGCGAATGTAGGAGCACGCATCAGCTTTATGTTATCATTTAGTTTGAGTAGTTGTGTTTCAAAGTGAAAAGAGGAACAAGCTGTGGACAGGCTCCGGCGCATGTCCGGTCATATGACTCCAAAACCAGGCGCTGGGGCGTTGCTCATTCTCCCCACATGAGTGCAGCATTTACCCTTCACCCAGACCTCCCCCCTCACCCACCTCCCACTCTCCTCCTCAGTGTTTTGACATGAAGGCACACTGCTGGATATTTCCTCTTTCCATAGTGTTTCTGCTCTGTAATCTGAGCCTCTAGCATCGAATCTGCTGTGCAATTCCCCCAAGTTTAATGTTTTAAACCACAAAAGCTTGTTCAAGGTGACTGCAAAGGCACAGGGCAGACTGCCAGGCAAGGCATCAACCGACAGTGTCTTAAAGGCAAATTCCATCGCTAACTGCAGCTAAATATATTTTCCCCCCATTTCGGTTCACCTACAGCTAAATACCAAAGAGCTGACAATGTTCGCAGCAGCTCCAACATTTGCACAAGGGATGCTCCAACACTGCCCTCGCTGAACTGCCCAAGGTGCCTGAATGGTGCCTAGCTTTCTTGGCCCATGTATCTTTTATAGAGTCTACATAGCATGCATTATTCAGCAATAACACGCGGCCCATCTGGACTCCTGTGAGTTTGTGTGTGTGTGTGTGCACCTGTGTCTATGCATAGGTGTGTGGTCTATACTTAACTTTCCTGCCATGCCATTTCACCATTTCACGCCACATCCAACAGTGCTTGAAGAGCTAAGAATTAGTATTTCCTCTGTAATTACAACTGAGGTATAAATGTGTGTGTGTTTGACAGAGGATGTGTGTGTGTGTGAGAGAGAGAGAGAGGGAGAGAGGAAGGAAGTGGGAGAGAAATAATAGAAAGTGGTGAGAGAAAGAGAGATAGATTAAGTGAATGTGTAATAGTGACTACAGATGGCACGCTCAGGATCAAGCTCTTTCATCATGCCGTTTCTCATTAATAGAGATGGGAGCGCTGCCCTAATTCCATAATTCCTAAATCATGCCAGTTAGTTGAGCGCGAGGAGACAAAAGTACAGGGGAGAGAAGAGAATAGATTAGCCTGTAGCCTAATATCGTGCCCGCAAGAGTGAGAAATCAACAGAAGAAGAGATGAAGGGACAGAAAAAAGAGGAAAAGAGTGGAGAAGGGTCGCCATCTGCATTTCCTTTTTTGTTGTTGCCAAAACCAACATCATGTAGGCCAATTTTTATTCTCGCCAATTATTGTCCCATATGTAAGCCAGCTAATGAAAGTCGCTAAAATAACACAGAGATTAATGCGATCTGGAGGAGAATACATGAGGATTTAATGGTGTGTTTACAGCATGTGTGTCAGTGACATAGTCCAGATGACGGGTTTCTTATGATTTCGAGGAGCACATCTGTTCATTTCTGGCTCCGTTCCATTGATCTTTCCTCTCACAAGGGCCAAGACATGGGAGGGTTTCGAAGCCTTGCTTGATCGGGCTTAATTTTATGTTGGGCTAATTCCGCCGGCACCCGATACTTGTCAGGACAAAGAATTGGCTGACCAAGCTCGTGTCTTGGTATTCAGAGATAATTTTATTCCCTCGTCTCCTTTTCACTGGAATATACTCTTTCTCCATTTAAATTGAGCTCTCATATGAAGCAATTTGATGGAAACTAGAGACATCGATAGCCATTAGCCCGCTTTGCACAGGAGGGCCAAACATGGGAGGCCAGGCCTCATCTATTATTCATGTACCTTAGTTTCCCCCCAAAACAACATTTCTTATATTGGTTTTGCATCACGCTGCTAAAAGATCAGTCGGTGGTTTCAAGTGACACTTTTTGAACGGGGCTGATAAATGTTTCAAGATACTTTACTTTACAATATCCATTAGGGGAAAGTGTCTATTGTTTATCTCTTCAAGTCCATATCCCATGGAAATTTATGGAGCTTTAAGAAAAGAGGAAACATTTGCTATTTTATATTTTTTAAAAGACTTTCAGCTTTTAGGCACCACGTTATGTTCCCTGTTTTATTCAGGGGCACATGATGAAACCTGTGACTTTACAGTTTCAGAGCAACTTCTCTATGTAGTAAATGAGAAGAAGAATCCATGTTTTCAGATCCATGTTTAGTAAAAATACCAACACAGCATCTGAAAGTACTCAAAAGTAAAGGAAGTAGAAAATATTATAAGCAAAATGATGATGATGATGGTGATGAGGATGATGATTATTATTAGTTTTATATTAAAAGGGTGGTAAAAGGGATGCATCAATGCATAAGAAGCATTGTATAGGTGGTCCAGGCTTAGCCAGTGGTTCCCAAATTAAGGGTCAGGCCCCCTGATTAATCGCTAGATAAATCTGAGGGGTCAAACAGTTAAGAAAGAGGAAAAGTTGTGAAAAAGTTTTTCTTTTAAAGGGATAATGAATACTTTAACCTCTTTTAATCAAAACATGTTTTACATTTAAACATTTAAAGCTAGGCTCCACTTTGTTATACGACCGATACATCCCATCAGCCATCTTGTCAAAACTCCCAAAACATGCACATGCACTAACAAATGGTAGAAGACGACTTTTCTGTGACTCGCTCAATAACTTTGTGTCGTCTTGAGCAGTGTATGTCTGTCCAGCTGAAGACTCCAACTTATCAACCCTACATTTACTGAAACCATACGAGAAAGGTGGAGTGGAAAACAGCCCATAGTCCAATCTTCCATCTGAATAGTGTACAAGTTTTTACCATATTTCCAGAATTCAGGCCAAAAAATAAATAAATTGAAGCACTTTTACATCCACTACTGTTACTCAAATCTTAGGAGTTAGGTTATTGAGATAAAGCACTGGTGGAGCTCATTCTCGAACTGAAAGAGCACTTGTCAATCCTGAAACCCAAAGGATGGAAAATGCGATGGAAATATGACATTTGTTTATTTCAAGTGTTATTTGAATATATATTTTTTAAATTCTTGCATTGACACTCATTTCTATTTATGCGCAAAGTGAAAATATGCATATAAAAACACCAAAATCCAGATTCCCTTATAGACATCCGATTGTGACATGGTAATCTAACTACACACTTTGTAAGAGGTCAGATTTGGAACCACTGGGGCTTTTATTATGTAAAATCTGAGAAATAACTAGTAACTGAAGCTGTGATATTAATGTAGTGCAGTAAAAAGTAGGATATTTCCCTCTAAAATGAAGTGGAGGATACAGAAAGAAGCAGGCGATGAAAATACTGAAGTAAAGTACTTGAGAAGATGCACTTTCCATCACTGGCCGGCCACCCTGCTGGAAAGCTGATGGAAACAAGAGAGGAGAGGCTATCAAGCTATTCAGTCTCCATGTTGTCAGCAGTTCAGATTAGCTGTCACATCGCTGAGGGAGAAACAGCTGAAGATTGGAGAGAATGATTTCATCTGAATAATTTCATGCTTTGACTGGCAGAGCTCAGCGTTCACCGTCCCAGGACTTTGACGTCAGGGGTAGATTGACTGGGGCCAAATAAAGACCCAGGTAGGAGTCTGAGACATAAATACAATCACATGCCCTTTGGGTTTGGTGGGGAAAAAAATGAATTCACATTTCCACAAAAGAAACCCCACTCACTTGTCTCGTTTTCCAAGTAGACAAAAAGACAATCTTTATTTGTGTGTTTCTCTCCTCGCTCTGACTCCTGTGTTTACTCTTGACCGACTGACTTTAATGACTGAGGTCAGCTTCCACAAAATTAACACCACGAACAGAAAAGGAGACAAACTCATACATGACGCTGAGACCTGGAGGCATCCTACCACTACCAACCATGGATCACAAACCAGAGGAGAAGAAGAGGAAAAAGAGGAGGAAGAAGAAGTAGAAGAAGAAGAAGAAGAAGAAGAACGATAGCAGGACAGCATCAGTGGAATAGAAGAAGAGAAGACACATTTTTTTAATCATCCACAGGCTATACCCCATCACTGCATCCCACACAGGAGTAATTAACAGTGATTTTAAATGCTACAAAAATAAGATGAAACAGGGAAGGAAGTGCTTACCCTTGTGTGTGTGTGTGTGTGTGTGTGTGTGTGTGTGTGTGTGTATAATGTGCATGCCATGTCTTTGAAAATGTTAATGTCTGCACATGTGCGTGTGTGTGAATCTGAACATGGGTCACCATGTGTGTGTGTGTGTTCACAGTGCTTACTCATTATGTTCTCTTCCCAACATTAAAGAATTCTCAGTCCCATGATACACACACACTCTCTCTCTCTCTCTCTCTTTGTGCTGTTCCCTTTAAAGTTCGTCCATGGATGCTCCCACCAGAGGAACAGCCGTGTAATCACAGACTGCATGTACTGTATGTATGTATGTATGTACGTGTGTGTGTGTTTGTGTGTGTGTGTGTGTGTGTGTGTGTGTGTGTGTGTGTGTGTGTGTGTGTGTGTATGCGTGCCCCACATGTGTGTTGTTGTTGTGATGCTGCCACACACACCTCTCCTCATTTACCACAGTCTATGCACTTCCCATATTGGTTTAACCCCCACACCCAGGACCAGCATCAGTCAGTGTTCACGTCCATTGAGATCTGGCCTGGGCTCTGAGGGATGACTCCCAGTCAGTTTTACCCCTGTGGGTCCATTTGCCTCCTGGCCAGAGATAATCCATCAATTGACCGAAAGCCAGTCAGGAGAAAGCGCGTGAGGAGAGAGGTTTGATTTTTTTTTTTCCTTTTGATGTCAGAAAAAAGTCTCTGGGAGAGCAAGAGAGCGGTGGCAGGGTGTTTCTGATTTTCCCCATGAAAAAATATATCATCATTACAAACAAGATTGATCTGAGGGTTTCACAGTGGTCATGCAACTTGAGTGTCGCCTCCTTTTCTCACCTGTTCATCCTTTAACGTCACCCCCCCACCCCCACCTCCCCACTCCCAACCCTTCCAAATCCCCCCCAACCCCATTTATCCTGCCAGTCTGAAGAAGAGAAGGTACCGTAAGTGACCACAGTCAAAAAAAGAATAGAGAGACAAAGAGGTGGGTGACCAGTGGTACATTCATACATGAGAAAGACATGGTTCCAAAAGTCACCCGACCCGGTCGACATTAGACGGTGCTGAAGACGCCTGTGCTGGCCAGGCCGTGATAAATGCTTTGTTTAGAAACACGAAGACAAAACACGCCCCACCTGAAAAAATGTACACCTCACCAAACCCACCCAGAAATCCCCTCAAACACTCCCAACCCTCCTACTGAAACAGGCTATGGTTATACTTGTCATTATAATATGATATTTGAGCTTCTCATAAAAAATCAATCTCTATGACTTTTATATCACGTCGCTGTGCATATACACTGGGTCTGAAAATATCAACACATACAATATTACATTTCCCATATTTAAATCGGTGCCCGCGTCGTTTCCTATTTTCTTTTCTGCACAGGCCAGGCCACTCTCCTTCCTCTCCATCTCTGTACATCGGCTCTTTTTTTCTCCTTGTAGCTGGAATTCATCCAGATAGTGCAGAATTCCAATTACAATTCAAGCTTGGCCACTTCCAATACTTGGTGTGAGGATGGGAAAGCAATGTGTGCAAAAAATCCAATTTTTGTGCATCCAGGCCTATCGCTAAATGCATCCTGCCGTGATTGGATGATAGGAATTGCACGCGACAAGTTTAATCATAGCCACGGCTATATCTACCCCATCAGTGGCTAAGAGTCAATAGTCAAATCAAAAAGGACCCCCTGATATGAGTGCAGAGACATTTCCCTTGTGTTCTTCAGCTGAGAGGTGCTGTCCCACCCAGAAGTTGGGGATCAGAGATGAAGGGCCGATTCCCAGGGAGCTCACGACCCCAGCCCTCTCAGCCAGGTCTGGGTAGGGTGTCCACGACTGGGCCATGGAGGGGGCTGGCAGTGGGGGTGGTTGGTGGTTGAATAGAGGTGGAGGTGGGAAAGGGGGGGGGGGCAGAGACAGAAGGCTTCCCTGAGGGGTGGTGGATTTAGAGGGACAGCCAGCCCGGCTCAGCAACCCTGGGTGGGAGCTCCAGGAAGAGGGGGAGAGGGGTCACAGCCAGGAGGAGAGTCCCAGTGAGGCCAGAACAGCTAACAGGGCCACACACCCTGGACTCCAGCTCCGACCGCCATCAGTCAGGAAGGGTTCCGGAGAATCATATCCCGACCCATCTGAAACAGAGAGAAGAGGAGAACGAACAAAACATCTGAACTGAGAGGGACACGCACACAGACAGATGAGACCATCAGATAGTGGACGAATGGGGGAATTGGATTTAGAGACAAAGGGTGGACAGGCGAGACTGCTCAAAGGGGGGACAGTGTGGAACGTGAGCGACAAACTGGAGAAATCTCACCCTTTAATAGCCGGGGAGAGGCTGAGGGAAGATGGCAGAGAAGGATGAGGAAAGAGGAAAGAGGGAAGAGGGAGGAGGAGAAGACGACAGCAACTGAGCTCTGCAGGGGGTTTAACCAACCTAATTACAGTTTAATCACAGAGACTCAGAATCTGGAGCAGCTGACACACACACGCACACATGCACACACACACGTGCACCCCCTCACAGCTCACCCGAGTGACAGTATTTCACAGACGAGATGGAAGTTGCAATGTCAGACAGATTACTTTAACTGCACAAAAAAAAGCAGGATCTCAGAGAGCAGCCGCAGCAATGACAGAATAAAGGAACTTATGTTGTTTCAGTAATTATGGAGGAGGAGAGAATTTCCTTCCCCCTTAGCGAGAAAGATGGAATGATCGGAGCCTTGAAAGCTGCGAAGGCCGACTCTCATCCTTGTACGAAGATCTTCAAAGCCGTGTCATTATCTGGGGAGACGTGTTACTACCCAGGTTTGATTCTTGAGTCTGGCTCGGGTTGAAAACTCATGAGGGCGTCTTTGGAAAGGTGCACAGGTAGATTTTCAAGATAACGCAAGGTTAGCGTAATGCCTGCTGCAACCTGATCCCCCGTGTATGCCAATCCACCGTCAAGCTATTTTGAAACGGGCACTATCACTGGCCGACATGGCTGCTCGAGTGTCAGCGATGTGAAGGAGCTATTTTCTAAAGAGTGTGTCTTATCAGGCCTCCTGCTGTTTGGTGGGGGGGAAAAACTCCTGCTTCATCTTTTACCACATGGCTGGTGCATGAGGCGAATTTCATAAAAAAATATGAAGTGTCTAATATTAGATTTGACTTCTTCTGTATGCGATTGGTTTATTATTAGATTGCTCTCTGGTTTCTTATGAGTAAATCTAGCTAATAGAGCGACGCTGCGGCCTGGTAACATTTTCAGAGAGCACTTTCATCCTGCCCCCTTCTCTTTTTACAAGGACAGAAGGTCTCCCTCACACCCAGTGCGATGTGATGTGATGTGATTTGATGTGATGTGCGTATGCCACTTTGTGCCTGTGCCTCTTCTCCACATCTATGTGTGTGTTTGCGCCTGTGCATTCTTATGTGTGTGCCTGCATGTGTCAGAATGTGTGTGTGTGTGTGCGCAAAGGTGTTAAAGTGTTGCCTGGCCGGCCTGTGAATCAGAGCAGAGAGTGTTGCCGGGGCATTCTATCAAGCCTCTTATTCCCCCTTAATTTTACTTTGATAGCCAATCTGGACCCCGGTGTACATCAGCAAGTGTGTGTCTGTGCGCAAGTGTGGGTGTGTAGTTAGAGCGTGACTCACCTGGAGGTCTGACATACACCTTCAGCTTTAGACACGCCCGCCCCACATGGTTCGGGTGAGGAGACGCTGTAAAAAAGAGCAGAGAGATTGGACGAGGGGATTAGCTGAGAGATAAAGTGATTTGCGCTGCTGATTGCACTCATGAAGTAATTGGGGACATTTAATAAAAGTTTGATAGTGTTCTGTCACTGAGGGCCATGAGGCTTATTATAAGGTGGTTAGCAGCTTGATGTGAAAGGAGAGATTGCTGCAAGCATGGCCTGATTAATGTGTTTGTGGGCCCTGTCGAAAAACAAACTGTGGGCCCCAATCACTCCCATTCATCTTTTTCCCACTCTCTGTTTGTAATAAATCTGGCCAACAAGAAAACCAATGGAACACACATTAATATAGTAATATGCAGCTTATTGAGGTAGATTTGTCATTGGGAACTTAAATAAGACCATAAGAATATGACCATCCATTATCTATGGCACTTAAGGGTAGCTGGAGCCAATTCGGGGGGGGGGGGGTACACCCTGGACACGTCACCAGCGGCTGAATATGTCTATACAGAGATAAACAACAAATCACACTCACTATCTACAAGATTTATTTTGAGTCAAATCTCACGTACATTGTAAAGAGATCATCAACTGCATATTATTGCACATCTGAAAACAGTACCCAACAGATGCTCTATTTACTTCTGTGCAAGTCATGTTTGCTAAAAACTAGTGTCCTGCAGATTCAGCAAATTTTAATCTAGATGGCACTCAGTAGATCGCATAGCTCCAGTCCCCTAAATCCAATCAAGCCGCAGCACATTTCACACACTCATAAATACCAGCTCCCCAAACGTGCCATTAAGATCCATTAACTGGGAAAACACCATCATCTCACAATGTTATAGAAAGTGAGACTCTCTGCCCCCTGATCCAGATCTTAATCCCTTCTTCCTTGACCAATGTCAAATCCATGAACCACGTTTTGTTGAAATCCGTTTTTGCGTAATCTTGCTTACAATCAAACCAACCAACAAACGGGCAGGGGCAATAGCATTAGCTCATTGGTGGAGGTAATAACTTATATAATTTATAGATTTCTGATCTACATATGTCTTTGGCAGAATTGATGAGCTTAATGATGAGTGCTACAGTCAGGTTTGGGCCTTTGTTTTGGAAATGTGAACAATAATAAAGATCATGTAGAAGCACAAACCTAATCATTTAAGTAACAATGCAGGATCCGGCTGTATCAAACTTTATCCTTTCAAATGATGTTTTAATTGACTTTGACTGCTCTCAAACAAGTGTCACAGGACGGTGGTCGAGGACTGTCCCAGTTTAGAAACACTTAAGTCTGTGATGGCTTTGATGCTGACCTCTTTTTCTTCTGACACAGATACGTGCAGACATTTCTTCTCGTTCACTGGGCAATTGTTAGCACAAAGTAAAACACACAAAATTGTAATCAAGTCAGTAGAAATATGTCATGGATGGTTAATCAAGGGTGTAAAGCAAGGACAGTATTTTACGCTGAATAATTTGTTAGAATTGGACTTTGCTGTTTAGTCATTACCGCAGCCTATTACTTTTTGGATGTAATTTATTGCTTCAGGCATTTGGATATATGTATTTTTTATTTTTTATTATGTTCTTTTAAGTTCTAAATAAACCCATGGTCCCAAGCTACTCCCGTAAACATACTAAGCACTTCAGGCAGTGTAAACAAGTCTGTGAGGGATGAGCCCACATACTGGGATTCAGTCACACTTCTATTCATACCTTAGGGAAATAAGCCACTCTCCAATCGACCTGACTTGAATGTCTTTGGAATGGGGAATGAAATCCATGCAAATTCCTCACAGACGCGGCGTGCCCTTCTTGCAGGGAGGTGACGGTGCTAACCACTCAGCCACCACGCTTCCCCGTCTGAATCTCTCCCAAAAAAATGAGGAGAAATGTTAAAAAGTTACTGCAATTCAAAAACTTCAAAGTGCAGTAAATGAAACTGAATCTGGGTTTTTAGTCCCACTTCACTCTGATGTGAAATAGAAGTGGAGACCTCAGAGGTGATGGGGACCGACTCTACACCCACACACACGTATATGCGGATGTGTTGCGCAGGAATATGCACACACACACTTGATGGGTTGCAGCAGTGTGCGTGGAGACCTTTTGGCCTTCACTATTGAGGAAGTCCGCATCGCCAGAGCCCACGGTGACCCTAAAGAGGACCATCATCAAGATCCACAGCGCACAGGAAATAAATCTGACCCCTCCCTTGCCCTCTCCTCCCTCTTTTTCTGCCCACAACTCCTCCCTCCATCCTTCCCTCTGCCCTTCACCTCCTTTACCCTTTCATGCCTTCTCTGTAGCCCACTTCCTTTGCCTCCAATTTCTACAAATCATCCACCTACCCTCCTAACAGCGTGCAGAGAAATTGTTTTGTGGCGATGCACTGCTGGCCTGGCATCAGGTTCTCTGTCCCGCTGCACCTCTTTGTTTTTGGCTTCCCCACTGTTTGACTGAAAAAATGGCAACACTAGGAGAGAAAGAGAAGTGGACAGATACCCCCTTCTCTTTTCCCCCCTTTTCTTTTCTCTGTGACCTCCAACAATTTTCACTTTTGTCTTCTATTTAAAAAAAAAGTCTTATCAGCTCTCGCAGTGCCTCTTGTTCCCAGCTCATCCACAGTCCGGCGTCCCCCGAAAACCTATTGAAAATCACTCAACCTCATCAGATGGCAGCTGGGAGAAGTAAGAGGTGGAGTGGACCTGTCAACATGTCAACCACATGACAAATACACACACCAACGTGCACACGCAGGCACACACACGGTCACACAGGTCCGGACGCAAATCAGCATCAAAGATTCATGTGTTTTACTCTGTAGAATATCTGTAGAGAGTACACACACACACACACATAAACAAACACACACACACACACACATAAACAAACACACTCACACTCACACACAAAGAAACACACACTCATCGGAAGGGCTGGGTGGTTAAAAATGTCACATGCAGTCATTCCACATCAATACTGACCTGTTCGTGTGTGTGTGACTCTGTGTGTGTGTGTGCTGTTCATCTGTGCATGTGAGAAACAGCGAGAGACAAGAATGTGTGTGTGCTTGTCACTCAAGATGATGGACATGGCCTTTCATGGACTCACAATTGCCTGACAACTGACCCTGCTACCAGCCCTACCCCCCACAACACACACACACACACACACACACACACACACACACAC